GGATCAGCAATATTTCTCGAAAGAAGTTTTCAAAGAAGAAAAAGGGTATGTGTTTTCTCTTGCAATTAGCATCTATATATTTATGGCTAGGAAGAGCCACACCAAGTTAATTTCTATGGAACTTGATTCTTTTAGGCTCGCAAATTAATGCATCAGTAGAGAGAGAGAGAGAGAGAGAGAGAGAATTTCGAAAAGAGACGCTATTTTTGTACACAGTTGAACTGGCACATGCTAACACCCTCCTCTGCATACTGCATGCAAAGATAATCTACATTCCTTGCAAATATTTCAATAAAAACCATCTTCTTCTCTTTGTCTGGGCAAAGTGCATATATTCTTCTTGTCATATTATCCGTTTTAGATTTAAATATTGAAGATTCTTACTCCCTTAAGGCTAGCTAAGAGCATAGTGAAACCCTAGCTAGCGCTATATGTGTCAGAAGTATACATATTATTAATGGTCCCTTGGATGTAAGTGCATTCAGCCATGTCTACTCACAATGCATTCATTCATCTTGAGTTTCACTTTCAAATTATTATCTATGTGCTTCTTATACATGTCATAATTCTTTTCTTCTTCCAAACAGTACGAGATCGAGTCGCAATTTTTTGTCTCCCTATAAATTCATATTTTCCTCAAACTAGACAGATTAAATAAGAAAAAAAGGGACATGAAGTGTGCTTTTTTCCACAGAAATTGAAGAAAAAGCAAAGGAAAATCATGTGCAAGTTTGCATATTAGAGAGCATTCAAATAGACTAAATCTGGTCTTTCGATGTTCTGAGTACTAATTTCAAATGCCATAAGTGTCAATAAGCGCGATGCCGATTGTTACCTAACAAAGCTTCAATTATATATGTATACGTAATAACTATCAATTCAGCCAGCATGTGCTAGCTTGAGCCATGAATGTCAATTGTACTTGTTTTAAATTCAAGCATTTTCTTCCGGATGTGAATACAGCAGGCAGATGTTAATTAGCAGAGACCTTTGTTAATTTTAGATTATTGTTTACCACATGATTAGTTTATTACTTCCAACTCTTGTTAGTTAACTAACTAAAGCTTCCTTTCTACTTTATTTCCAAATTCAACCACCTTTTTCTTGGTTTTCTGTTTCCAACCCCATTACTATTACTATTACTATTACTATTAGCTAGGGATTTCAATTACTCATACAAAGTTTATAAGCAGATTAAGCGGGTAAGATCATGAATATAAACTCTAGTTAGATCCTGCGAAACGACCCCGAAAGATTGGGTACTTTTATGTTGTTAACCATAAATTTTTATTTATTTATCAGAACTCACTGGGATGATTTAAGCCTGACAGCATCTATCCGCTATGCCTAACATTTACGTTCCTGGGTGAGGTCAAAGAAGTAAATTCAATCTTCTGGGAACATTTGATCTGTTGGCTGACCGCTACAAAATACAATATTAGTCGATTCCAGTTGTAAACTGCAAGATTTAGATTACAATATTTACTTTCTGTTGACATTTTGCAAACTTTTGCCATTAATGTTTGGTAAGCCATGGTCCTGACTTTGTTAGAATTGGTTGACATAGTTTGAAATTGGTTGCTGCCTTATCAAGCTAGAAGTTCAAAAAGTTGGCCCCATTAATTAGACCAACTCTCAAATTCAAAGTTTATATGAAACGTCTTAATCTTTTCATGATCTCCTTGAAAAACTAGGTTAACTAAATCCGAAGGAAGCAACCTATATATATATATATATATATATATGCAAGACAACAGAAATTCTTCTACACGTAAGTTCGGATGTTATTATTGTGCGGATATCTGGATGAGATATGCTATGTAAAACATAAAATAGTTAGCATAATTAATTAAGTTTTCGGAATAATATAAGGTCATAAATATATGAAGTGGGATATCTAAAACATGGCCATAAGATCATAGTCTGTCTGGCTTATGTATATATATTATTACAATTATAAGCATATATAAAGCGGACATACAGAAACTCCAGCAAACAAATTAAGGAGACATTAACAGTTCTGAGAGCTAAACTGTACGAATTTTAAAATAAGCCTTCCTAATAATATTCATCTAATTTCTTCCTGTAAAGTTAAAAGGAATATCCCAACGGAAGAAGAAACAGAACAGAAAAGTCCCCATAGAAAAAACCAAGATATCAAATTTGACTTGTTCTGGTTACCCTTTAAATTCCCGTCAACTTGGTGACGATAATAAACACCACCAGAATTTAATTTACATCTCTGATTGAGGCCCTAGGTAGAAATGACAAGAACCAAAGGACGACTTGTGTCACTGCTTTTTCATTCTATAATCAAATAAATCAAACACCCCCCCCTAAATATTTTAATGCAAACATTGATCCTTGTTCACAATAATCTGCAAGAAAATATTTTTCTTCATCTGTTTTGAATATTATACTATGAAAATGACACTCACTAACATGAAAAATTCTTGCAAATTTGTCGTGATGTTCAGCAGTTGGACCTGAAAAAAGCGGGTTTCTTCTGTATTATAAAAATGAAATTCATCAGAGAATAATAATATAGCAAGAAGACTGCCACATCTACAGTCGTATATTACTGCAGAGGGGTGTGATAATTCAAATTATTATACCATTTACGAGGTAGTTCTTGTTTTTTTTTTTATATACAAACGATATTGTAGTTTAATCTATCTAAACTATAAAAAGGAGAATTCGAACTCGGATGCAGAGCAAAGAATACATCCTCATCTTCTCTAGCTAATTTAACTAAGCTCATGTCTATCCGAAGTGGTTTTTGATTGGTTTTTTGGTTTTCAAAAGTAGGATAAGGAGAGAATTTGATAGTTCTTATACTATTCACTTGTCCTATTAATTTGGCTCATTTGGTTGTGTCAATTTTTTTTAATAAAAAATATTTAATATATTGGCTTTTGGCCTTGGCAACGGTGAAAGCTAAATGTTACAAATGTTTGCATCGCCTTCCATAAAAATCTTTTAACCAATGCCATACGCAAGGAAATTAAACACGTGCTTATTAATCATCATCTATTTGGTTTGGTCCAATAATACTTCATTCTCAAGAGTGAACTTCAAATTTTCTTTGGTGGAATTTTTTTTACTGGACAGTCCTTTTCATCTTATGTCATTATGTTCATTTTTCAAAATTTCCATTTTTTGTCCGGTTTTGGGTACATTCTTTTATTGGGTCTTCATGTTGGAGTCATTATATAGTGAGGGTCTTATCTCTTAATCGTTAGATCAAGCTAACTAATTTAATCTAATGGTTGAGAGATAGAGCTTCACCTAAATTCCATATATAAGACTCATTTTAGAATTCTTACTTTTTTTTGTATGATAAGGCCCAAAAACCTATTTTTTTTCCGGATGGGCCCAGTAGATTTGTATTCGGTCCAGACTCTTCAAACCTTAACCAGCCTGACCCAAAACTGAAATTACTAGTTTTTATTTATAAAAATAAGAAAATAAGCCAGTGAATTTTACGTTTGAATATTGTGGGAAATGCCCCAAATTGGCATCATCAGCTAAACCCTAAAGAATGAGGAGAAAACTCTGGAGATAGAAGAGGAAGAAACCAGACGGAATCAATGGCGTTTCCGGCGTCTTTTGCGTCACCTTCGTCTTCAACCCCTAAATTTCCGGTACCCTTCTTCACTCTCTCACTTTCTCACTCTACTAAATTTCCAACTATTTGAAATATGTGAAATTTTCAAACTCTTGGATAACTGATTGGTTCTTAATTTTCTCTATTTCAGATTAATGTCTTTGAACAGAAACCATGCCAACCCAAAAGTTGCTTTCTTTTACATCTCCGTCGCCGACCCTTCTCCTCAAGCTGCATAAAAGCAATGTCCTCCATGGCACAATTTGGCGAACCCAGTAAAGAAAACAAGCAGAAGCAGAAAATTGAAATCAGTGTTGTGAAGGATAAGCTGTGGGAAGCCATACCCGTCCCAGTGAAAGAGCTTCCATGGAAGAAAGCAGCAGATACAGCTTTGGAGCAGCTGCTTCTTCTTGGGTACAAGGCACTCAAATGGTCCTTTATCAGCTTTGGTGTCCTTAGTTTTTTATCAGATGTCATATTTTCCATCTCCAGGAACTATGAATTGATCATGCCCTTTGGTCTCTTTGTTGGGTGCTTCTTGACTGATGTCTTGAAAGAGGCGTTGCAGCAAGTGCTTCCAAGCTCAGAGGAGAGTGGACTTGAAAAGCACTTTTTAGGCATCGGCTGCTTTCTTGCTGCTGTTAAGTTTGTCTCTGCCGGCCTACCAATGCAAGCCCGAGTTTTTCTTCTGCATGTTGCTAATGGCGGGTTCATGCAGGTCTTGTGGCTCTGGAGAGGTTTATTGAACAAAAGAGATGAAGATGCTTCCTTGCCCATGGACGTGAAATCTTAATTTTCTGCAGAGGCCTTTCTTTTTAGTTCTTTTGGGGAGGAAGATGGGGATGAGTTTTTTGGAATCATTGCAATATTCAGTGTTTGTGTGTGTGTATATATATATATATATATATATATATATGTATGCAATTCATTCTGTTGCTTGGAGAATCAAATAATCGAACTTCCACATATTTTGAACTGTTTGAGAACATATGGCGTATAAAAATACTGAAGATCACTATGAATATGAAAAGCCCACAAGGGCTACAACGATATGCACAACTATTTGCTTGCTCGATCACAACTGTACACAATAAGAGTTTGCTTTTGGATTTCCAAAAAAGAAAAACTGGGATAAACAGAGGAAAAAAGAAAGAGCCTGATTGTATGCTTGTGGAAGTTCTGAACTTTGAAACCAAATGTCTCACTCGAGTTGTGTTGTACAAGGCTTCCAAAGGTATTTTCGGGCCAAAACGATAACGTGCTCCTCAAGATATACTTTTACTCGTCCAAGCATCTCATTCAGGCAGGCACCATCAAATATGGTAATTTATAATGGATGGACTTGAATTTGGATATAGAAAATGCAGTCAATTATGTACCACGAGAACTCATTTTACTTCTGGCTAGATTCTGCTCTATCAAAAGTAACATCCCATGTTGGATTTACTTGGCTAGGTTCTTTCCCTGAAAAGAGAAAAGCACAAACAACCAGGCAATTACAACATTGATGCCGGATACAGGAACTCTCCCAAGTGTTGGATGAAGCAAACCTGGGTTCACGTTCTCTGGATCCTGAATGCTGTCCCCGTCCTCGTGATGATTTGCGTGTCCAGAATTGAATGAGTCATCAGGAGTGACTGGGGACTGGCAATAAGCTGAATGCAGCTGTTTATAAACCTCTTCCATCCTCCCCGATTGCTCATCCTTTTTATCCATCTCCATGAGAATCTGTAAACAACGCCCCCATCAAGATTCAGAAGAGATAGAGAGACGTAATGGTCTCAGACACACACACACACACACACATGCAGAAAGTCCATTTTGAATCACTACCTCTGAAACGTGGTTCCTGAATATCGGATGAAACCGCTGTCGACAGTACTCGTTAAATAGAAGGGTGAAAATAAGCAGTGGGATAGTGAAACCTGATGCAATTGGTGATCTTCTTAATCCAAATACACCGAGGGCAATTATTTGCATAAGAATCAATGAAACAATGACTGTATTGTGCATCATAGGCCAGAACTGTCCCCCACTTTCATATTTTGGTATATACACGTTGAGAATCTGAAATGCTCATTTTAAGATTCAATCCATTATTTGATTCTCCAAAGAAAGAAAGTTGCAAAAAACCAATAGCTATGAAATGGGGACAATAATTAAACACAATTACTAAGAAGAAAAAAAATAACAATAAAGTAAAAGACCACAAATGACGCCCACAACATAGACCTACACCTACACTGGTTCTCAAAAAATAAACATAGACATACACAATAAGGAACGCTATATGATAATGTAATACAACATTGTGAATGCACCTGCAAAAGAAAATCCTTTATTCAACTTTTTATTTAATTCTTTATTTGAGGCCTTTAATGTAACTTTGATAACCAAAAGCTAACCACAACGAATCTAATACAACATCTAAATTTCCTTCAAACCTAACAAAACTAAAATCAGAAAATGAGCTTCTACAATGTGATTTCCATTCCAAAACTGTCCGCAAACACAACCAGACAGGCACTAAGAACATGCGTTTCTGGAAATATCCCTAATATTACCTTCCAACTTAAAGAGCACAGAACAACAAAAATAAGTGCAAGTTCATTCTATGCAGATTTTGCATAAAAATGTCGTAGCTATAACCTCGTGTACAAGATACCGGGTTTACTTGCTTTGATGTATAATAACATATAAGAACAGCAAATAAAAACCGATGCTAACCCATGGAATGCATGATGTTAAAACGCATCGATAAGAGGAGTCCTCACCTGGTTTCGATATATAAGGTAAGCAAGTACAAAGTAAACCAGCAAGAATGGCAATATTAGGGGAACCAGGATGGAACAGGTGAAGCCAACAAACCCAAACAGGAGGACTCTAGGAATTTCTGTATGATATGGAAACGTTAGTGTGTCATTGTACCCATCCTTGAGTAATATGAACCTTCGGAAATAGTTGCAGAGAAGAGGATAAATTTGCATGAGTTCACATGCCAAGCTTGCCCAACCGGATGATAAAACATAAGTCATGAAAAATTTAGCCTGAAAATTTGAAACCATACTCATAATTAAAATCAATATTAAAGCTCTGCACTTTCTAAGATAAAAAAAGACTGGAAAACTTTTATAAGGATCTCATTACTAGCACGAGGACTAAAGATCATTAACACTTACAAAACTCTTACATCACTTTGTTAACCCTTATGACCATGAGTTCAAATTAAAATGGCTTGAAGTTTACATAAGAAGACAATTGCAAATGGACAAAGTAATATCTATAAGTAGAGGGCTTAATCATTCTGAATTGCAAAGCATATTAGTTCAGAACTTGAAGCCAAAAAAACAGTAGGCACTTGTACGGATTTAATAATCAAGGGCATATCACCTGTGCTGGAACTGCATTGGCAAGTTGCGCAGGTATGTCTTTCACACTAGAAAATACACTCAATTGGCGGATAAGAGACCCAGTAAAAATATTAACAAAAAAGACATTCCAGATTGTGAAGTATAAGACTTTGAAGCATGCACTCTTTTTCCTCCCACTACGGGAGATACACCCCTCTGCTGTCGAAAATAGCATCATAACTGGTGGAACTGAGTAAAAAGCCAAAATTAAAACCACACTTGGCAGGTACCCCGTCACCAGCTGGCTTATAATTTTCCTGCAAGCACAAAATGTCCGTGTCAAGCATAACAAAAAAAAATCAGGTAAATAGCATTAAAAAAACAGTAACAAGCACAAAATGTGTGTCATCGTTTACTTACTTCTTAAGAAGTCCTCTCAGAAATGGAAATGCTTGTTGTAGAAATTCTAGTTGAGTCAAGCCTTGAACAAATGTGACGGGAATAAGAAACACAAGCATAAAGGCAATAGCAGCCAGAAGTGTAGCTATCTTCCGGATCCACAATTGTCCGTACGGTATCCAAAGGTTTGACCAATAAACATCATTTGGTTCCGGAGCCATATCTGTCACCCATAACATGGGATTTGATGACTGGAGCACCTGTGAAGTAACAACAGCAGCATAGCGAGTCTTGAAAAAGACAAAAGCAGCAGCACACACCTGTATGTAAGACCCAACATATTTTAGGTTACAATGTTTCAATTTCCACAAAAAGTTCTGGCTAACTCGCAGAAAAAACATTTACATGACGAGAACAAGTCAAAGAAACAGAACCACAGATGAAAATGTCTATCCTCATTTTTCTTATGGGGAAGAGACTATGCAGGCCAGATTTATCCTCATGTCTATGACTTCCATGTGGGAATTTTGGCAGCTAGCTACTTGGCAGATTTAGGTTCTGTCATACTCACGCCATATATAAATGGACTAATTATAGGAAGAATGGCATAAATATATGTGCTCGTGTGTGTGTGTGTGGGATTTTATTTGAAATAAACCTATTAACTCACATAAATAAAATACATACATTATATATAAATATTAATTACTCATTCAACATTACTTTTATTTCTATAAAAAAAAGCCAATCGCACCAAAGATACTTCTGTTTCCAAAATTTTCCAGTCCAAAATCATGCTTAGGGCCAAAATACTACGTGGCCAACCGTAAAAGGAACATCTAGAATAAAGCAAGAATAAATGACGATACTAAGAAAGCTTACAACAAAACAATATTTTTTGAAGGAATATTGGCATCACTGCCTTTAAACTGCAGTACAGAATTTGTTAAGAACTCAATGGTTGCCAAACCATTTTAAAGGGACCAAACCAGATGCAAAAGAGTCAAGCCATACACAACCACTAGTTGTATATGTATATGTGATGGAAAACCAGAGCTATTAAATTAATTGGGGCCAGAGCTTGTGCGACCTTTTTTCTTCCACTCACACCATCGTCAATAAGGGATGACTTCCCTCTAACACTCTCTGTTTCGTTCGAGAGAATCTTAAAAGAATCAGTAGCTCCTCCACAAAAACCACACTGAAACAAATCTGGTTTACGGGTTTGGTCAACAGAGGCATCCTTAAGAATCTTGCACACCTTCCCTGCATCACTCTGCAAAGTTTAACATGTAAATTCCAAATTTGTTATATTAAAAATAAATAAAATAAATAAACTTCACAGTTAAATTTATGGATCTAGGGGTATAATTAATATAACTAAAATATTCAACATTTATAAAAAAAAAACTTCAATGCAGGGAAGAAATACCATGAAGCAATATTCATCACAATAAAGATTCCTTTCATCAATTCAGTATTATACCTTAAAAAAGTAAAAACAAAGAGGTATTCACTTAGAGGAAATCTCTCAAGAATATAGTTGCCTCAAAACTGAAACTGAAAAGAAAATGCAAGAATCAACTGCAAAGTTGCTCATTCTCCTTTGCATTTGGAATCCTACAACTTAAACGACTGCATAAAATCATCAATACAGAATCAAGTTTATCTTATTTTCTTTCACATACAAAATTTCAGCACCAACTGATATAATCATAAAACAGTAATCATATGTTTTCCTTTTTCCTGACACAATGTGCACTGCAACTCTTAAAATTATACACTAAAATTCGAATAATTGCAGGCTGCACACCAAATCCCATAGTAGTCTATGTTATCTTCTACAAAGACATGACAGTTGATGGCTCCATATCCTCTGTCTAGTCTCTGATTATTGAATGCACACCAAAATATACAAGCAATAAATGGTGTAGTTGATTACTAGTCAAATCCTCTGTAAGACTTGATTATTAGTCAAATGGGTTGTAGTTGCCAACTTTTTGAAAATTCATCGACAAATTAATAAAAACACATAAAACAAAAAAAAAAAAAAAAAAAAAAAAAAAAAAAAAATTTAATTTTTATGGGGAATAATTGAACAAATGCAATGACAGAAAAAAAATATATATATCAGGCATCCTGTATTCAGTTTCCGTAAAAACCCAGCATATATTTTTCATATATCCTTAAACCGCATATTGGTCTAAGTGCAAGTCATGCTAGCAGTTATGACAGTATTAGCCAATAATAGAGCAATTGACTGTTGTGTAATTTAAAGATTTTAAGAACTTTTAAAACAATTAAATTGCTAGGAAACAGTATAAATAATTCAAGCCACATACATACCATCAGTTTCTGAATTTTACCAGATCGATACACCATTTGGGTGTGACAAGTAGCTTGATGCATGATATTTTGTGAAGAATTTTCTTACTGAATCACTGTATGATTCTTCCGCTGACCAGGGAATAGCACGAACAACAACTGTAAAGTAACTTGGATTTGAAGAAGATGCAGTGATATGTGCCAGCCTCATTTTAGTGATGGTCTTATATTCCTACAGAAAAACCACAACAGATTCATAGACTTAATGTCTTAAGATATTTATATTTGTAAGGATTAAAAGCAAGATGAAGAACTTCTTAAATTATATATACTACAATATACAACAACAGATAGAGGAGATAGGGTTTACATCCTTACAAAGTAAAGGAGAACACAAGCTGAAAAGGTAATAATGTACAATGCGAGACAATGGGTCCAGAGCCTGACATGAATTACAACAGAGAGAAAATAACCAATAAGAAACTAGTTTCCTGGTGTATATAACCAAACAAGTTAAATCACTATTTTAAATTCATCAAAATTGAGACAAAATAATATGCGCACTCATAAAATTTGTTTGCTATCTACACTTTCAAATGTGTACAATAAGATTGAGTATACGATAAGTCTTTTCTTTCTTTAGAAATTGGATTAATCATCAGGACTATATATCTCATACCACTTTGAACCTTCTTGAACATTCAAGATGGTAAATACTTCCAAGGATTGTAAAGGGATGTGCTGATGATGCATCTTCTGCCCATGATAATTCACCGGAAGCACTATAAAAACACATACGACAGCAGCAATGGAAAAGATTCGAAGGCTGTAAATAGATAAACAATTTGGGGAAGTGAGAAATCATAGAACCATTAAGTAGAAATTGTTGTTGTACAAGCATGGAATTGAGCTGAGACTGAAATGGCACAAACATAAAGCATAATAATCTGGGCAGGGTTGAATTACCTGAAAACAACCATCCTGATAAAAACTACAGAATCCAAGCCACCAACGGCCAATAAATCTTCTTCTTTCGTTCTCCAGGCTTTCAATAGCCAACTAGCAGACGGAACAAATCTATCCAAGCAGAAGGGGTCACTTCTTCTTGTGGCTATTGAAATTCTTCGTCCAAAGTAGACATTAACATTGCTTGGTTGTTTTCTCAATATCGAATACAGCGAAAAAAGTATCACACACACAGCTATATTAATTCCAGCAGAAGTCAAAAGAGCTGCAAGATTCATTTCTGTACACTATATCTGCAAGCTTCCAAGTATCTCATCACCCAACGAAACACACACGAGACATCCCGATTACACCATAAGCTGAACACTCAGCTGCTGCAATTTTCCTACCTATCTGAATTTAAAAGTAGAATCCATAAGTCATTGTTTCCTTATTGATATACCAAATTCAACTTCATTTCTCACTAAGACAAAACAAAAGCTGCTCACATTGCTTCGATTCAAATGATATGCAATAACATACCAAAGCAACCGTTGAATTTCACACATACAGAAATCTCAAACAATCAATTATTAAGAATTTGATCAAAGATTCAGACTCTGTGAAAATTGTAAACAAAGTAGACAGACAAAGTCAGCAATAATTAATTAGATAAAAGAAATGCAGAATTAGAAGAAAAACGAGTACCTGAACCAATCCGAGTAATTCCAACTCCAACTGATCCAAGCGGGTCTTGCACATAAAGCGAATTAAACCGAATTGCAAAGCGAGAGTCGAATTAAGGCTTGTAGCCCATGGCCATTGCCATTGCCGCGTTTTCGCTTCGACTTCACAGAAACTCCAGAGGAAAAAATAAATAAATGAAAATGAAAACCCTAAAAAAGGTTTCTCAGACAAAAAGAGAGAGAAGGAGATTAATGATTGGTGAAGAAGGGAAAGCGAAGAACCAACTTTTTGTCTCGGAGAAATACGTAAAGGAACCCCGGAATGACACGTTCGTTTGTGTATTTTACTCTCACTCTAAAAATCGCAGCACCAACGGGAAAGCCACGTGGCGGACAGCCACATCCAACTGCCAAGGTATAATGCAACTGCCGAAGGTTCTTTCGTATTAATTTTTACTCCTTTTTGGCGTGCGCATTACGCTACATCGCGATCCATCCATTAATATGCGCTCCTCGGACGTTTCATGCTCGTGATTGCAAAAGCGCAATGGGCGTGTAAACGTGCGATTGGCCCATTTTAGTGATCGATACTCTTCACGGTTTGCGATGTTGGGCTGTCGTTTTTCGCAGCCCATCATGAAGAAGTTAAGCCCAAAACAAACGCCCCATTAGGCTCTACGAGATGAGACGAAATGACATTATTAAGGAAGTGCTTCTATAAGAACAATGTGGAAATTTTTTATTAAAAATTCAAGTGAAGTCTTTTTTTGACTCATTAACACTTTATATTATGAGGTAGAACTAGATTGCATTATATTACATTGGATCGAAAATGATAACACTAATTTAATAATGTGTTTGGTACAATGTGCAATTACATTGCTTAGTAGGATTATAATTCAATTTAATCCCAAATTTTTGGTAGGAATTATAACAAGAATTCTATAGTGAGGGCCTCATATATGGTGGTCTATTTATTAACCGTTATATCAAATTTGTTAGCCTGATTAAACGGTTAAAAGCTAAGACCTAACTTAAGGGACTATATATAAGAGTTCGGATTCTCTAACCCCCAATTTCTCTTTACCCCTCTGTCTTCTATCTCAAATCTTAACACATGTCCATCCAATTAACACAACTTAACTCTGTTAAGCCTGAATTTAATTTTAAAAATAAATAAAAACAAATAACAAAAACCCAGTCAGTTCCCATCCCCAACCAGGGCTAGTCTTGAGATTTTGAGGGCGCTGTGCTAACATTAAACTAGGGTCTCACATAAAATAACACAAACTTACACCATTATGTAATGCCATACAATAAATGTTTTTTTTTCTTAAAGTGACCAAAGTACCCCTACTCCCAAGGGCAAAATTGAAATTTCACAAAAGAATTAAATTTGATTAAACCGATTAAATTGTATCATGGATGTTACACCTTTTGAATAATCACCATGATTGTGACGACGAGTCTTTGTCGTAATAGATCATATTCATATATTAAATATTTTTTAACACCTAATTTATTTTGTATCAATATTCCAAGAACATCATTAATTGGATGCAACTTTTTTGGTTGAGTTGGTTGGATGCATTATTTTTGCAAAAATAAATATCTTTTTAACACCTAATTTTTAATTTATCAATATTCTAAGAACATCATTAATTGGATGCAACTTTGTTGGTTGAGTTAGTTGGATGCATTAATTTTGCAAAATTAAATATCTGACCATATATAAAAACAATCGTGTACCACTTTACTAACTACGTTCTGAATTGAGGTGAGCCATATATATGGAAGTCTTATCTCTACGGGCACTTGAAAAAAAAAATCATGAGTAATTGAAGAGCTAGCGTCAAGTCAATGATGGGGACGTACACACGTGACAAGCAATGTCTACACATAGGAATATAGATATTATTGGGGCAATTAGAATATACTTGATGAAGAATATATATATATATATATATATATATATATATAGTGCCATGCATGCAATTGAGAGATTCAGTGTCATCATTCGATGAATGAGGTGCTTAGTCGTTGGATCTATTTCAATGAAATCATGTGGTTGAGATTGATTTAAGTGTTTAAACTTGTTTGTGTCTAATGACTTGCCAAAAAGTCACATGTACGTACGCTTTATTGCGTAGCAAGGCTGATGTAACTTGTCCACGTGTTATAACATGGATGGGCGATATGGTTAATATTTCCCACTTTTATGATATAATATCAATAAATATCCACTTATATATTCTAACAAACGAGTTATACCATGTGACATACTCTCATACTACATACCCTATAATTACTCGCACTTAAAGAATCCACAATGGGGCCCCTAAACCACCTCCTTAGACAAATTTTAGGGATAAATTGGAAAAATACAACTTCAACCATGCTCCCTATTCACCTCATAAAATAAAGAGATCTTTAGGAACTCTTTAAATTTGATGAGAGAGAAAGAACTCCTAGTGGCTCCTTATAATTTAATGATGTTTCGTTTTATGCATAGTTTAAACTTTTAATTAATACAAACTTTTTTTTTAATTTTTACAGAGATGATAACCTGTCATACTGAATTAAAAAATAACTATAGTATTTATAACTTCCTAACTTAGGGAGTATAATTGGAGTTCAAATTCCATAGAGTTCCTAAAATAACTTTTGTGTGTTTTTAGCTAAATTTTTACTAAATAATAGGGAGCATGACCTTTGCCTACATAATTACTGACAAATTCCTTGTGATCGAGTATTTATTATTTCAGTATGTGGTTATGAAAGTAGCTGGGATATTGAATGTTGGTGTTGACATTGGACAAGTTGCTTTAAACAGTGGTTGCAACATTATGTGATTGACAGATAACAGAGTTGTTTTTATCTTTCAATGAAAACAATAAGTTTCAAAAAACAAACCAAAATTTTAATTTAACCCTAATTGTCATTATGGTGGTTTTGCTGCTAGCTAGGTCACATTTGCATATGACTATGTTTTTTGAAGAAATTTTACTGGTCATGTACGTAATAAATTTTCAACTATAATTTTTATTCTACTTTTTGCAATTTGATTTATTATTATTATTTTTTTTGGTCATTCGATAGGGAGGGAAATGGGGGAAGTATTATATTGGGTTGCTTCAAGATTGTCTTTTATGTGAATCGAACTTAGGTGCACAGTGCAACATGATAATGAAGTAAGTCATTTAGTATATATAAATTGAAATTTAGATACATACTTGAATCTGAATTTAGATTTAAATCTGACTATTTGCTTTTGAGTGACATTTATCAATTTATTTGGTTGATTTTTTATGTTGAAATCCTTGAAATTGAAAAAAGAAATTGTGAAAGGATTAAAAAAGAGAGCCAAGGAGAGATATTGGTGATGATTATTATGCTTATAAAAAAAAACCATAAAAGAACTAAAACTATGATCTACACAAGCGGATTTTGAAGTTGCGCCCTAAATGGAAGTTGAGGCTATGCAAACCAACACAATAGAAATGTCTTTGTGTCAAAAATTTGCTCGCTCAGTATATATATATATATATATATATATATAACATTTATTAATATACACATAAAAAATTTAGGGGCCCTAAAAAATCAGAGACCCTGTGTGGTGGCACCACTTACACATCCTCAGAGCTACCCTTGTCCCCAACTTCAACAGTCACCCACTACCCAATCCAATCGCAGGACGCTGTCGTCAGAGTCTGGTGTTCTTGTGAGAAATTTGGGATTTTGGGTTGGAATTGATTGGAGTTGTGGGTTTTACTTCCTCTTTCTTTTGTGTATAATTTTATGCTGGTGAAGCAATTCGGAAAAGAAATTTTTTTGATTCACTTTTACTGCTTGGGAATACCATTGGAAGCTTTCTTTCCTAAAGAGGGCCTTGTTCGTCAGCTAGCAATCTCCCTTTCTTTTAGCTTTTGTTTACAGCTAGCAATAATATAATGGTTGGAATTAGAAGTAGATTTTGATGGGGAACAAACAACCAAAGCTTTTCGCTTTTTTTTTTAATTTAAAAAAAATGAAAAAAATGAAAAAGAAGTAAAGCTTTGTCTCTCAGCGCAAATCACCTTTAGTAAAGTCTCTCTCAAAAATGTGTGGAGTGAGAAAAAGCTTATAACTCAATTGGCTAAGAATATTCATCTTTTTCACTTGAAGTTGTAGATTCGATGTCCCCTACCTACCCTAGTATCACTTGTATAAAAAAATTGGACGGGTGAAAGGTAAAGCCACGTGGCAGACAATCCAACTATCCAAGTACGTAACATCTTATCCAGGTACAAGTAATGATGCTGACCCGCCCAATTGGGTCATATCCACCGCCGTTTCCCTGGGCTGTCTTTTAGCAGTCGAGCAACTAGAGCAGTCCAGCCCAAACTGCAAGGCCTTCAATACGTTGCTTTACAATCTCCAAAATTCTTAAACTGACAATTGTACAACACACGAAATAAAGTAGTTTCAATACAAATACAGTAGAAGAAGAAACACAATGAATAAATACAATATTTTGAATACATTTTCTGGTGATGAAACATACACTATCTGCAATCAGCACATACTTAATCTCTAGCTTAGCCAGGCTTCATGAGCAAAACAAATATATTCAACATTTCACTTGGGAGTTAATTACCCAGGAGGACTAGCTAATTAACGGTCTGGTTCACGATCATAGGAAGCCAATTGAAAAACCCACTTGGTCTGCAACCAAGTTGATTTAGAGACCACCGATTGGTGAACCATGGTGGGCTCCACAAGGGCCTTGACACGTTGCATTGCAACCTCGAGTGTGTCCTCGGACATGTTTGCAAAGCACATTCTGAACCAACCCGGTTCAGAGCAATGGCAAGACGACCCAGGAGAGATGTTGAGCCCAAATTCACAAACCACTTTCATCCAAAGCTCCTTTTCAGCTTCAAAAGTGTTAGACTTCAAAAGGTGCCTCATGTCCACCCAACAAAACAACCCAGCATTGCTTTTCAAACACCTAATCCCTGCTCCTTTCAGCCCACAAACAAACATCTGCCTTCTCTCTCTAAGCCTCTTTTGGTTCTCCTTCAAGTAATTGGC